TCCCTGGTCACTGCTTGTGTCGTCCCTGGTCACTGCTTGTGTCCCTGGTCACTGCTTGTGTCGTCCCTGGTCCCTGCTTGTGTCGTCCCTGGTCACTGCTTGTGTCGTCCCTGGTCACTGCTTGTGTCCCTGGTCCCTGCTTGTGTCGTCCCTGGTCCCTGCTTGTGTCGTCCCTGGTCCCTGCTTGTGTCGTCCCTGGTCACTGCTTGTGTCGTCCCTGGTCACTGCTTGTGTCGTCCCTGGTCACTGCTTGTGTCGTCCCTGGTCACTGCTTGTGTCGTCCCTGGTCCCTGCTTGTGCCCTGGTCACTGCTTGTGTCCCTGGTCACTTGATGGACCATGTTCTCCAAACCAACATATCTGTTTTCGTGATTGGTTAAACTTTACAGCTAATTTTTCTGCAGGATGAGGAAGCTAGTCTCACACTAATTTAACTTAGTCGCCTTTTACGACACACTATTGACCACGGCCGACTCCACTTTTTTTAAATAAAGCTTTAGCAGGCCGCGGTATTTAAAGACTGAGCTTCATTTTGGCTCCCACTGATAAAATGGCGTAATTCTTAGACATTTTCTGTGGATGCGATCTCAGTTATACGGCGACAACGTGGGCAGATAACAGCAGTGATGGTCGTAGAAGTAGCAGCAGCAGTGATGCAGACTACTGATTTACGAATCGTTAAAATGGTTCACCGGGCATACCCATAGATGCTCCGTCTCTTGCAGCAGATGTCCTACTGTTCCCACGGCACATTGATTATACACTCATGGTTCTCCGCATACGAGGTGCGAGTGTTTCCGCTGCTATCGCGTCTGTAGCCAGACAATCCGCTCGTTCATTCCCCGACACTCCTGTATTTCCCCGGCAGTATATCTGCGCGAGTTACTGTAATGCTAACATGCTGATGCTACAGACAGAATAGAAGGCAATCAACCAAAAATGATAGTGATGACTCGGTTACCTGTCAATATCCTCTAATTTGACAAAAACAACTGGTAACGGTCCGCAGCTGTTCTGGTATGCTCCGTTGGTCGCGCACACTACGATCGTCTCACACTGGCTCAGACTTTCCCAGAAAAGGTTCAGTGAATTCTGCAATGAAAGGTTGCGTCTCCAAGACTGTTTAAGAAAGAAATGACATGAAACATCTGGCGACAGGAGTCATCTTGTGACAATGTCTTTCTGTCGTTTCCACCTACACGATGATCTCAGGCCAATCGAAAGCTTGTGAGAACTCGTCGTGTGAGCCAAGTATCCACTTGTCTGTTGGTCTAGCAAACTGACCTTTGAACTTTTAACACACTAAAAAAATCTCCTGCATGCTACAGATTTTTTACTCACTCACCTACATAATGTCTAAACTGATAGTCCGTTCAATACCTGGCGTGCTAGTCAAGTTGGTTAAAGCAGCTACGCGGCGACCAGGTGACAAACTCTTTCTGCTCGGGGGATAGACAGAAAAGTCACTCTTTTCCCAGATTTACGGTATCCATCACTGAATCAATGCCCACGGGTTGCGGTATCCATAGTAACGAGCAAATGGGGTTTACACTTATTGTTTCTGGATTAAAAAAAAAAAAATATGAGTTGTGTTATCTACACGGCACTCGGGACACGTCAATACTGGCTCAGACTCCTCTTTAACATATATATATATATCAGCGTCCCACGATTACTAGTGAGTCCTTTGCTGGCTGACAATACTTCTTGTACGTCTGGTGTGACTCTCATGCTCAGTTCAGTCCCTGTCGGCACAGACTGTGAGCTAATAAAATCGTTGAGGCTGCCCACATTATTCCCTCTTGTAGGGATGAAAGAAATATCTGGGATTTGCCACATTGTTCTGTCATCCAGGTATGATCTCAAGGACTCAGGTTCTGGAACAGGACTGCAGTTCAGTAGTGGACGAGCAACCAGAACTTTCCGCCGGAGTATACAGCTGGTGAACGCGAAGAAGAAGAAGAATTGGAAACATTGTTCCAGGATGTGAGCCTTGTCACTATAGGAGCTCAAGTTATGGAACGGCTTACATTCGTATCTGGAGGTTCCACTGAGCGGGAAAGTAAAGCTTGTAATGTGCTGGGGGCTTTTCAAAGTGCAAAATCTGGCCAGCCTCATTGCCAGTTGTATTAATGATTGTTCCGTTATGTGGCTCTGGCAATCCTCATTTTTAAAATGGTGGCCCCTGTAAACCTAGTTTAGCCCCGATGTAAGGGAGGGGTTTCTTTTTGACTGCAGTGGTTTTCATAAAGCCAAGCTGAGATTTTCCTCTAGGCCTCACTGATAGAGGTCATGACAAGTCACCAATTCATATTTTCTTTATGCCCTAGGAAATGTTTGCCATTTTTGCTATTTATGTTTACCTTTACACATATATTAAAAAATGGATGTTTTAAAAAGAATTCCCAGAGGTTGACTTATTTCTGCCAGCATTCACGTGATAAAATTGTCAAATGGCATGGAAATCACAAATACTGAGCTTTGGGGGTAAAACTAAAATTGGGAGGAGAAAACTGGATTTGCCAAAGTTAAAAACAATTTGTAGTGTCCTTGCACTGGAACCCAGGAAGAAAAAAGTAAAAGTAAGTAAAGGTCCCTTTTCCATGCCTTTAGGCATATAGGGCTAGACCTATATTTTATAGACTAATCGGCACAAGATGGGTGATGTGGCCAGCATCACGCTGGCCACCTTTACTTCCCAGGACTGCCCCTGGCACCCACTCAAGGCTGGGTCGACCGGGGAGCCAAGGCCATTTATAAGAAAAGTCCGGCTCCGCCAGGGAGCGAACACACGACCTTCCGATCTGTGGCAAGTGTCTAGCCACTCTGCCACGGCGACTCCCTAGGAAGCAAAACCTTAAGGTAATTAAACCCTCTGGGTACCAATCAATGCACCTCGCACTGATTTACAACTAATTTTAACTGTCCTCTGGTGCCCGAAGAGTTGAGTGATAGGGCGACTTGGCTTAAGTTGCTCAAGTGTCTATATGGTGGATAAATGGCGGCAACAAGAAACAGATGCAGACATTACACTAAAGGAAGGCATAAAACATAATAGTTAACATCTCATTTTAATACAGCAGATAAATGCATGAGACAAATACAATTACAGCCATTTTACAAAAACCAGAACATGTGATAAAACATCTTTCACTAACATTTCTTTGGCAAACACAAAACAAAATGCCACAAGTCACCAAGGCAAGAATTTAACAGTGGCTGGGTACAGAAACTAGATTGTCTGAAACACCCGTCGGCTTATGACAAGCATACAACACATGTCACATTTGGCAAAGGCAAAAACTGATCAAATATGTCCGACTATAAAGTTGCTACAACTGATCAAATATGTCAGACTATAAAGCTGCTACTACAACTGATCAAATATGTCAGACAATAAAGCTGCTACAACTGATCAAATGTCCGTCTCTTTAAAGCTGCTACTACAACTGATCAAATATGTCCGACTATAAAGCTGCTACAACTGATCAAATGTCCGTCTCTATAAAGCTGCTACTACAAACTGATCAAATATGTCCGACTATAAAGCTGCTACAACTGATTAAATGTCCGTCTCTATAAAGCTGCTACAACTAATCAAATGTCCGACTATAAAGCTGCTACAACTGATCAAATGTCAGTCTCTTTAAAGCTGCTACTACAACTGATCAAATGTCCGTCTCTTTAAAGCTGCTACTACAACTGATCAAATATGTCCGGCTATAAAGCTGCTACAACTGATCAAATGTCCGTCTCTATAAAGCTGCTACTACAACTGATCAAATATGTCCGACTATAAAGCTGCTACAGCTGATCAAATGTCCGACTATAAAGCTGCTACAACTGATCAAATATGTCCGACTATAAAGCTGCTACAACTGATCAAATGTCCGTCTATAAAGCTGCTACAACTAATCAAATGTCCGACTATAAAGCTGCTACTACAACTGATCAAATATGTCCGGCTATAAAGCTGCTACAACTGATCAAATGTCCATCTCTATAAAGCTGCTACAACTGATCAAATATGTCCGACTATAAAGCTGCTACAACTGATCAAATGTCCGACTATAAAGCTGCTACAACTAATCAAATGTCCCTCTCTATAAAGCTGCTACTACAACTGATCAAATAAAGTTTAACAACAAAAATCCCACCCCTATTTTATTTTGAAGTTTTCTACAACCACATGGCAAAAATACCTTTACCTGTAGCCTTCTGTAACAGCAGTTACGCTTGAGATCTTAGGGTTGGCTTTCAGAGGTAACACCGGAGGTATCTACTGGATCATAACGGTGTAGATCACCCTCGTAATGTTCTATGTCATCTCTGAATGTAGAAAGTTAACACTCAAAAGGCCACGGCAGATATAAGGGGGGAAAGAACCCTTATAGATCAGCGCTACAATGAACTACATATACTTTATCCTTTTCAAATAGTCACTGGCACACAAGGCATTCACTGTCATCTTTCTGTGATCGCTCTCCAATTTATACTCACAGACGAGTTCTGTTCTGGAGTACGGTGTTGACTCAGCGGGCCGGTATTCCCTCTTAAAAGGGTTGTAGAAGGCACAGACTTGCAGTACATGTTCTATAGTTTGCACACAGTCCAAGCTGGCACAACAGTGAACTACCTAGACAAGGTCTCTACATACACTACATAAGACATTCACCACTGAACTCCATTGCTGCTGGTCCCTATGGTATCCCTGAGTCATCTAACACTAGACCTGGATTTTTCACAGACTAACCTGCCCTCAACTGATGTGGTCAGAGTCACGCCAGTCGCATTCACTTAAGTAAGGGGTCTATTCTCCTCGTCACAAATGACTTTCAATATACACATCAGAATAATAACCCCCCCCACCCCCCCACAACAATTCACACACAGCATGTATAACAGTCCTTGATCACCATGGAATAATTTGTGCTTGCAGGTTGCATCTTTCCCTGGAACCAGCCTGGAATTGCCTTCTGGAAACAAGGAGAACAACAAGCTCTAGTGGTGAAACAACCTCAGGTTGGTGTGAGCCAGCGCAATGTTGTGGTCGTTGCAGGCTTCGATCACCACATGGTCGTTGGTGGAGCCGGCTGCTGAGGCAATGAACTCCACGCCGCTCTGTGAATAGAAGAGAGTACAATAAAGACAAAAGTGTACAATAAATAGAAGAAAGAAAAAGAGAGAGAGAGATAAGTGAGGAGAGAGAGAGTACAATAAAGACAAAAGTGTACAATAAATAGAAGAAAGAAAAAGAGAGAGAGAGAGAGAGAGATAAGTGAGGAGAAAGAGTACAATAAAGACAAAAGTGTACAATAAATAGAAGAAAGAAAAAGAGAGAGAGAGAGAGAGAGAGAGAGAGAGAGAGAGAGAGAGAGAGAGAGAGAGAGAGAGAGAGAGAGAGATAAGAGGAGAGAGAGAGCACAATAAAATAGAGGAGACAGGGTACACATATTACAGGAAAGAGAAGCATAATAGAAGTATGAAGACCCAACCTGTAAAAGTGCAGTATGAAGACCCAGCCTGTAAAAGTACATTGTGAAGACCCAGTCTGTAAAAGTGCAGTATGAAGACCCAGCCTGTAAAAGTACATTGTGAAGACCCAGTCTGTAAAAGTGCAGTATGAAGACCCAAGACCCACCATAGATGGTGGTGGAAATTAGGTTGCACTGCACAGGCACTGCCTCGGTACAAACTAAGTAAACCGTCACACAGAGAGACAGCCTTTTAATTTGAAAATAATCTGACCAGAGAAGTCTTTCTTCTGCTTGTCTGTCTATATGATAGTCTATCTGTCAGTCAGTCTGTAAGACTGGATCTGTGTGCCCAAATTGTGACCCTTTAAAAAAAAGTTTGTTCTGTATCTGTCCTTACACGGACAATTAGCAAGATCTGACCCAAGCTGCAACATCTGCAGCTTACGACCCAACACATCTAATTTCAACAGCCCTTAAATAGTCACATTCTAGGACATGCTTGCCCCAAAATAGGCACCACATCGTGGCTCTTCTTTCTTCTCTCTGCCTTCACCGGCTGTAAACAAATATCGGCAACTCTGTGTACACATCCATTTTACAGATCTGACCTATTTGTATGCAGTGTTGGTTATTAGCCCACTCTGACAGCATGACCCCGGGGAAGGGGGGAGGGATGGTTCTATACAATGGGACCCTGGAACCCACACAGCACAAGCCTGGGAACCCACACAGCACAAGCCTGGGAACCCACACAGCACAAGCCTGGGAATCCACACAGCACAAGCCTGGGAACCCACACAGCACAAGCCTGGGAACCCACACAGCACAAGCCACAGAGGGAAGAAATACGCCACAACTAATGTTAGAGCAGTTACTTGATTGCAACAATTCACAAATCACTAAGATATCAAACCAGCGTCAGATTAAAGTACCCAGGTAAACCAAGTGACAGATATCATCATACCAGCGTTAGATTCAAGTACCCTGGTAAACCAAGTCACTGAGATAAACCCACGTGCGCCAGATTTAAGTACCCAGGTAAACCAAGTCACTGAGATATCCCACGTGCGCCAGATTTAAGTACCCAGGTAAACCAAGTCACTGAGATATCACACCAGCGCCAGATTTAAGTACCCAGGTAAACCAAGTCACTGAGATATCACACCAGTGCCAGATTGAAGTACCCAGGTAAACCAAGTGACAAATATCATCACACCAGCGCCAGATTTAAGTACCCAGGTAAACCAAGTCAGGGTGTCTCCTTACCTGGTAGGCTCGGTCAATGTTGTCTCTGAATGGAAAGAATGCATCAGAACTCAGAGATACACCCTTCAGCTGTGCAATCCACTCCTTCCTTTCTGCCTGTGACAGAACAAGACAAGAGAGTCAGTCTAGAGAAATCATAAACTACTACTGAACACACTAAAAAACATAGATATGGTCATCACGGTAAAGCACTCAGGACAACCCCATTGTGAGCGTACATGTTACTTGGTTAACGATTTGTCTTATGACAGGCTTGTCAGGGAACCTGTGGGTCTATTGTCTGGATCATGATGATTCTTTTTTTCCACAGGCTGGCCCTTGATTAAACAGTTGAATAACCCTGATTTAGACAGTAACAAGCGGCTTATTTCTGTGTAGCTAACTGTCACTTGCTGCACTCCGACTTTGAAGGAAGCCACCAATCACTCTACCCTTACGACACGATTGTTTGGGTAGGCTGCAGGCTTATTCTTGTTTTCTCTAGAATGGGTCCCTGGAACCCACATAGATACACAAGGTAGAAAACGAATATTAATAAGCCAGCCTGAAACAGAAAACATTTTCCACGGTCAAGAAGGGCAGGCACAAACAAAACCATAAACTGACCTCTGTAAACTGACTTGGTGGGTTCTCCAGCTGGGCCTCCCAGGCAGACAGATCCATGTCCTGTAGAGATCAACACCAGGACATGAATTTATTGTCACTGCTAGCAACATACAGACACAAGCACACACATGCTCATTACAATATACAGACACAAGCCCACATGCTCATTACAATATACAGACACAAGCACACACGTGCTCATTACAATATACAGACAAGCACACACATGCTCATTACAATATAGACACAAGCACACATGCTCATTACAATATACAGACACAAGCACACACATGCTCATTACAATATACAGACACAAGCACACACATGCTCATTACAATATAGACAAGCACACACGTGCTCATTACAATATACAGACACAAGCACACACATGCTCATTACAATATAGACAAGCACACACATGCTCATTACAATATACAGACACAAGCACACACATGCTCATTACAATATACAGACACAAGCACACACATGCTCATTACAATATAGACATAAGCACACACATGCTCATTACAATATACAGACACAAGCACACACATGCTCATTACAATATACAGACACAAGCACACACATGCTCATTACAATGCTCACACACATTAGTTCTTCACAAATTCTCAACGACACAGCCTCAGAGAATTCTTCTACTTATTCTTTCGCTCGGTTGAAATAGATTATCTGTATCTGCAATGCTGTCCGTAACACATGATCAAAGTTCTTAGTTTTTTCGCTATTATGTGAGAATGCTAGATACTTGACGCACTCCCCAGGACATGCGTGTGTGCATTAAGAACCCCAGATTAAAGATTTTGTTAGCATCCACACTGTGATTCACCCAGGATCTTTTCAAAATAGAAGCATACACAAGCAACACACAGAATCACATTTACCATGCTTTGGTTTACACTACGAATCACATTTACCATATGGTTTATACTAGGAATCAGATTAAATGAATCACATTTAGCGCTGTATCACATCGGCACTTGCGGTGTAGAAGCTAGACGCTGACCTGCGGATCTTAAAGTTGTGCGTTCAGGCCCTGAAGGAGCTGGACAATGACCTTAGTTAACAGGTCGACCCAGCCTTAAATGGGCACCAGGTAAAGTCTTAGGAAGTAAAAGCGGCTGATGTGGTGTTGATCACATATCGAGTTCCGATTGGTCTATAAAATATAGGTCTAGCCCTATGTGCCCAATATATCTGAAGATGTGGGAGGGTGTCCTTTACTTATGTCACATTTAGAACTGCACTGAAGAAAAGCAAACAGACCTGGCCAACAGTCCCAAGGACAAAAATATCAATAGCGTTGGAAATCTCCGGTCTCTTGACGCCTTTCTTGAACTTCATTGACATCACCTTTGGGTGCTGCCTCAACCACCTGCATAATAAACACACAAAGATCAAAGTTGCTGACACAAGCAGGTTGTAATGACAAGCACACCTGTGACCTCTTGAGAATCTGGTCATATCTCTAATACAACAGCCATTAACACTATTCATCTGCCTTTGTGGATAAAACAAATATAGGAAATTTGTGTGTGGGGGGGGGGGGGGGGGGTTTAGGAGTGCAGCAGGCTTGGTTTACAGTGTACCTTACTGTTGCGTGCTGATTTGGGAGTGTGTGATATTGTGTGTAGGGACAGACTGGTATGCAAGTACTTTCTGTGAGTTCACGGGGGATTAGTGTCAACATGGGCCAAGTATTGAGAGGAGAGAATGTTTACCAGTGAAAATGTCTTATCATGGACGAGACCTGCACGCACGAGAAAGTAGACGAGAACCACGGAGAGAAGGGTGTATTACGTGATAGCGTGATTGTCATGTGTCATCAGCCACTCACATAAGTGTGATCCCCGAGAACGCTCCCTTGAACATGAGTCTCGAGAACACATGAGCATGTTTCCCGAGAACGCTCACACGAGTGAACCTCTCGTGTAATCTACATGAGTTGGAAAGGGATAAATTGGGGCTGCCACAGGGCTGAAGCACTAGGGTAGTGCGGGTGTAGTACACACCCAGCATGAGAGTGCTGCGAAGCAGTCTGAGTCGTAGAGTTAGAGCAAGACAAGAGAGAGAGAGAGAGGAACCAAGTTAGGGTCAGTGATTATCTCTCGAGTACAACAGACAGAGCACTGTACAACTATCAGGCATCAAGTCCTGCTGGCAAAATAAGGCCAAGGGGACGGGTTGCTCCAATAGTAACTGTTCTGGGTGATGACGCACGGAGACAGAGTCACTACGGAAACAGGACAGTGGGGGATGCTGACGAGAGCTGTGTGCTAGAGGGGACTTAGAAGTCCTGTCGGTCATGGGAGCCCTTCGACAGGCTGGTGAGAGCCTTGTGCTTTTAAAGTACGACAAGGGAAGTCCATCTCCAGTCAGCTGTGGCTGTCTGCTGAAATAATATTAAGGTCCAGTGGATAGGAGAATTCGTCTTATTCAGCTGTACGGCATGCTCAGAGTTGTGGACGCTGTAGGCCTTTGGAGCTGTAGGGGTCAAGGAAAGGCCGCTACAAGTTGAGAGAGTGAGTGCTGACTAAATGGACTATGAGCGAATGTCAGTTGGGATCAATAGCTACGTCCTGCAATTGTGTCATGTAACCTGTTGAATAAAATGTATGACGGAGTCATAGTTGCCGAGTTCTGTTTCTAAGAGAGGAAGCGAAAGTGGTACCTGCTGGACGCTTGGTAGTGTGCTGGCTAGTTGTAGCTCAGTTAGCACACAACACCTACCTACTGTGCCGCTGCTATGTGGGGTCATCGAGGCAGATTCCTACCGTGCCGCTGCAATGTGGTGTCATCAAGGCAGATTCCTACTGTGCCGCTGCTATGTGGTGTCATCGAGGCAGATTCCTACTGTGCCGCTGCTATGTGGGGTCATCAAGGCAGATTCCTACTGTGCCGCTGCTATGTGGTGTCATCGAGGCAGATTGCTACTGTGCCGCTGCTATGTGGTGTCGAGGCAGATTCCTACTGTGCCGCTGCTACGTGATGTCATCGAGGCAGAGATTCCTACTGTGCAGCTGCTACCTAGTGTCATCGAGACACGAGATTCCTACTGTGCCGCTGCTATGAAGCGTCATCAAGGCACAGTCCTAGAGCCCTAATGCTTTTCTGTGAAATGGGTATGTAAGTCTAGTCATTGCCTTCTCAAATCAAAGTTCCCTGCCGATTCAGCAGTCTTGGTCATTTAGAAGGCCTTGATCAGAGATTCTAGTCGGTGAACATGATGATGATGATTCAGCAGTCCTGGTCATTTAGAAGGCCTTGATCAGAGATTCTAGTCGGTGAACATGATGATGATGATGATGATTCAGCAGTCCTGGTCATTTAGAAGGCCTTGATCAGAGATTCTAGTCGGTGAACATGATGATGATGATTCAGCAGTCCTGGTCATTTAGAAGGCCTTGATCAGAGATTCTAGTCGGTGAACATGATGATGATGATGATGATGATTCAGCAGTCCTGGTCATTTAGAAGGCCTTGATCAGAGATTCTAGTCGGTGAACATGATGATGATGATGATGATTCAGCAGTCCTGGTCATTTAGAAGGCCTTGATCAGAGATTCTAGTCGGTGAACATGATGATGATGATTCAGCAGTCCTGGTCATTTAGAAGGCCTTGATCAGAGATTCTAGTCGGTGAACATGATGATGATGATGATTCAGCAGTCCTGGTCATTTAGAAGGCCTTGATCAGAGATTCTAGTCGGTGAACATGATGATGATGATTCAGAAGTCCTGGTCATTTAGAAGGCCTTGATCAGAGATTCTAGTCGGTGAACATGATGATGATGATGATTCAGCAGTCCTGGTCATTTAGAAGGCCTTGATCAGAGATTCTAGTCGGTGAACATGATGATGATGATGATGATTCAGCAGTCCTGGTCATTTAGAAGGCCTTGATCAGAGATTCTAGTCGGTGAACATGATGATGATGATTCAGCAGTCCTGGTCATTTAGAAGGCCTTGATCAGAGATTCTAGTCGGTGAACATGATGATGATGATGATTCAGCAGTCCTGGTCATTTAGAAGGCCTTGATCAGAGATTCTAGTCGGTGAACATGATGATGATGATTCAGAAGTCGTTCAGGTCATGGGTTTTGAAATCACGTCAGACGGTGGCAGTCTCAAATCTGTCGTTACTTGTCATATTCTAAGATGCTAGACTTGACAATATGAACTGTTTAGCTCTGAAGGAGTTACACAAGATACATTATGAGGCAGGCAAGGGTAAACTCACAATGTATTGATGCAGCATTGAACTGTTTAGCTCTGAAGGAGTTACATAAAATACATTATGAGGCAGACAAGGGTAAACTTACAATGTATTGATGCAGCATTGATCTGTTGGAGAAGACTGCAAGAACAGAATGCTGTCTTTGGGGTGACTAGAAACATGTGGGGAGCTGGTTGGTATGCAAACTAACAATCATAACTGAAGGCTTTGTCTTCTGCAGCTGCTCTTCAAAGCGGCTGACAACCACATTACAACTAACTTTAAAGAGCAAAGAAATTACCAATTATTGGCCTTGTCTCCAGCCAATCGTGTGCAGTGAATCCGCGACTGCTGCCCAGCCCCAATGCCAATTACCTGAAAGTCAAAAGCAAACGAGGTCAGGAACCAAACCACAAACTTTACCAAACTGCTCTACTTTGACGTTATTTCTAGACAAATGTGAATGAGCTTAACAACAAGATATACTGTGGTGGTTTGTTGTTCTCTGCATTCATTTCTCCTAGACCATGTCTTCCCATAGTCTCTTCATAACCTGTTATCTGATCCTATCTTAGCATTCAGGTCACCCATTAACATTTTTATTTTGCCCTTACTTTCATTATTTATAATATTTTGAAGATGCATGTAAAATTCTTCCTTAGCAGATGCATTTTTATCATTTGTTGGTGCGTAACACTGTATTACCGACATGTTCACCTTCTGTTTCGCTTTTCTAAATTACGCTCTTATTATTCTGGGACTCACAGCTTCCCATTCTATTAGTGCCCTGTCTGCTTCTAGCAATAGCATCAGGGCCACTCTTTTACTGTGGGGCGAATTTTCCTGCGTGTCCTGAAAACAAAATAGTTTCCCCTGAATTTAGAATACTTTCCCCCGCCCAGTCCATCTAGTTTCATATAACCCTAAAATACTAATTCTATAATGTTTCATTTCCCTTACTACTTCCATTGTTCTCCCTATATCATAGAGAGTTCTAACATTCTAGGTGCCAATTCTAGAGGTTTTCCTAGCTGAGAGGAAGTATGTCAACGATCCGGACTCCTTTTGGCTTTCTCCACACCGTGTCATACTTCTTATACTTGAAGAGCCTCCCCTTATCTTGGTTGGCTGGGTTTTACTTGCTTCTCTTTTTACTAATCCACGGTTAGTTGGTTTTTTTGGTTATTGTTTATACAGGATGAGGTAGCCAACCCTACCCATAGCTGCCTCTTACGACATGTCTGGTAGAGTGCAGTGTCACTATTCTTTGCTTCCCTTGAGGAGCCCCGGGGACACACTGGCAGTTGTTTGCTTCACTGCCTGTAAACTCCAGCAGAAAGACTTGGTTGCTCGTCCATGTCTAAACTTTGTTCCAGGACCTGAGTTTTGCGTGTGCATCCGTTTTACAGCTCTTGATTATTTGTATGCAGACTGCTGGTTCCTTAAATCTAAGGCAGATGCACTCCAACTTTAAAGAAAGCACCCCCCCCCCCCAAATTGCTTCTTACGACATGTTTGTTGGAAAGGCAGTTGGTCTATTCTTGTTTCCCCCACAATGGGAATATTTTGATGGTACAACAGCTAGCAGACATGCTTGTCTTCTTGATGCTCGCAGGTTTCACCAATAGGTTAAACAAAAAAATTACTAAGACTCTAAATTTATTTTTTTGCTTGTCCTCTAGAATTGCAGAGAATTGTAATGATGCGTTTATAACAAAATTCTGAAACAGGCCAGTGTTTTAAGATTGTTTTCATTTTTTTTAACAAAAGGGTTAACTTGCTCTAGCTCATCTGCTGTCAACTGTCAGCTCCTGACAACTTGGCTTCAAATACAGTTCCAGCAAATGATTGGCCCCTTCCCGTCTCTCCAGACGATAGTGTTATATTGCATCATAAGGAGGCACAGGATTGACAGCCTATGGCAATGGTGAGTATGACTAGCAAGACCTGCCTGTGTTAAGAAAAGTCTTCCACAATTAAAGCAGGGGGTTTCAGGACCGTTGTTAACATTTGTGTTTACTTTGTTTCTGCAATCATTTCTTCCTTCATTCTCATTTCCTTCCGGATGTGCCGCCTCCAGACAACACGGTGCTTGGCTTTGAAAGAGACTGCATCAATACCTGTTTTATTCATGTCCTGCCTGCACACGTTTTTATATCATAGTAGAGGTTGGCCATGACATCTACTTATCTTCAATTCACCATAAAGGATGTCCTTAGGGCCTCTACCAACCTCCATTCTCCAAGTGTGACCCAGCCACCTGAGCCTTCGTAGACTGAGCATCGAGAAGACTTGCAATACCTGCTCTTTCCAGTACCTCAGTGATTGTGATTTTGTCCTGCCACTTAATGCTAAGTATTCTTAGGCACCACATGTAAAAGCTATTCAGCCGTCTCTCCTGGTGCAAATAGGCTGACCAAGTTTCACTCCCATAAAGCAGAGTGCTGAGAACTAAGCCTGATAGACATTTTTTTAAAGCAGATACGCAGGAAATGAAACTCTCCCATTCTTCCACTTCTCTAGTTCTACTACAGCGAATGAGAGATAAGAAGCTGACACTAGCTACACCAGAAGCCAGCTTTCTTTAACTTACGTGAGTCAGACACTGATGGTGTCAGGGACTCCAGAGTCGACGATTTTTTAAAATAGAGAAATGTAAAAGATTTACCTGATTAGGCTGCCTTTACATACAGCACTGCAGTTATAAACAAGAACAGTCTCAATATTTATACATACAAAAATAGGAAACCAAACTACCTGTCCATTTTTGGCGTAGCAGACAGAGTTTGACTGTGTGTACTTGAGGGAAATGGTCGCCACAATTAGGTCACGTACAGCTTCCTCTGGCAACTACAAATAAAGCATTATATCAGATTTTTCACATTATTTTACTTTCTTTAGTTCTGACACTGGCAGCATAAGGCTGATATATGTTCCCAGACACGTACATTCCAATGCTGAAATTTGAATGTGTTCCCAGATACGTACATTCCAATGCTGAAATTCTAATGTCTGGTTCCCAGATACGTACATGCCAATGCTGAAATTCTAATGTCTGTGTTCCCAGATACGTACATTCCAATGCTGAAATTCTAATGTTTGTGTTCCCAGATACGTACATTCCAATGCTGAAATTCTAATGTCTGTGTTCCCAGATACGTACATTCCAATGCTGAAATTCTAATGTCTGTGCTCCCAGATACGTACATTCCAATGCTGAAATTCGAATGTCTGTGTTCCCAGATACGTACATTCCAATGCTGAAATTCGAATGTCTGTGTTCCCAGATACGTACATTCCAATGCTGAAATTCTAATGTCTGTGTTTCCAGATACGCACATTCCAATGCTGAAATTCGAATGTCTGTGTTCCCAGATACGTACATTCCAATGCTGAAATTCTAATGTCTGTGTTCCCAGATACGCACATTCCAATGCTGAAATTCTAATGTCTGTGTTCCCAGATACGCACATTCCAATGCTGAAATTCTAATGTCTGTGTTCCCAGATACGTACATTCCAATGCTGAAATTCTAATGTCTGTGCTCCCAGATACGTACATTCCAATGCTGAAATTCGAATGTGTTCCCAGATACGTACATTCCAATGCTGAAATTCGAATGTCTGTGTTCCCAGATACGTACATTCCAATGCTGAAATTCGAATGTCTGTGTTCCCAGATACGTACATTCCAATGCTGAAATTCTAATGTCTGTGTTCCCAGATACGTACATTCCAATGCTGAAATTCTAATGTCTGTGTTCCCAGATACGTACATTCCAATGCTGAAATTCTAATGTCTGTGTTCCCAGATACGTACATTCCAATGCTGAAATTTGAATGTCTGTGTTCCCAGATACGTACATTCCAATGCTGAAATTCTAATGTCTGTGTTCCCAGATACGTACATTCCAATGCTGAAATTCGAATGTCTGTGTTCCCAGATACGTACATTCCAATGCTGAAATTCGAATGTCTGTGTTCCCAGATACGTACATTCCAATGCTGAAATTCTAATGTCTGTGTTCCCAGATAAGCACATTCCAATGCTGAAATTCTAATGTCTGTGTTCCCAGATAAGCACATTCCAATGCTGAAATTCTAATGTCTGTGTTCCCAGATAAGCACATTCCAATGCTGAAATTCTAATGTCTGTGTTCCCAGATAAGCACATTCCAATGCTGAAATTCTAATGTCTGTGTTCCCAGATAAGCACATTCCAATGCTGAAATTTGAATGTCTGAGCTACAAGGTTCTGATTAGTTAATTGAAGTTTTAACTGTAAAAAAAAAGGGTCATCCCAAAAATATTCCAGTGCCAGCAAAAACCACAAAGAATGCACATTGCACATAAGGGAGCCGCCAGACATGCCAGCACAAACAGTCCACCACTAGAGTTACAACTCATCATTAACTACCAAAACAAAATCATCAGTTGCACACACAATACAACTTGACACCATCAGCTCTGTGGCAACAGGCCACTCGTTATTTTTGAATCTGCAATTCATAACATGAATCTCATAAGGCTGGTGGAAAGGCATTCCAAATGAAATTGCAGCTCAGAGTGTCACACCATGCACTCAATAGCTGTGTGACAGAACTATTGTCTACATATGAGAAAATGCAAAAGTTAATTCTCCCCCTTTACAAAATGCTTGTCTACTATCCCCCAAAATGGGCTTCAGAACCCATCTATTTATGTGCTGAGCTGTGAATGTATTTTAGCCACAACCTGATGTTTGTGATGTCTGTATTTTAGCCACTAATATTTGTGACGGCTGTATTTTAGTCACAGCCTGATGTCTGTAATGTGTGTATTTTAGTTATAGGCCTGATGTTTTTATTTCTGCAAGTTAGTCACAGCCTGATGATGTGATGTCTGCAATTTAGTCACAGCCTGATGATGTTATGTCTGCAGTTTAGTCACAGTCTGATGATGTTATGTCTACAATTTAGTCACAGCCTGATGTGATGTCTGCAATTTAGTCACAGCCTGATGATGTGATGTCTGCAGTTTAGTCACAGCCTGATGATGTTATGTTGCAATTTAGTCACAGCCTGATGATGTGATGTCTGCAGTTTAGTCACAGCCTGATGATGTAATGTTGCAATTTAGTCACAGCCTGATGATGTGATGTTGCAATTTAGTCACAGCCTGATGATGTAATGTTGCAATTTAGTCACAGCCTGATGATGTAATGTTGCAATTTAGTCACAGCCTGATGATGTTATGTTGCAATTTAGTAACAGCCTGATGATGTGATGTCTGCAATTTAGTCACTGTCTGATGTTTGTGATGTCCGCATTTTAGTCAATAATGTCTGTGATGTCTGCATTTTAGTCACTGTCCAATGTTTGTGATGTCTGCATTTTAGTCACTGTCTGATGTTTGTGATATCTATATCCCCTTTTAATATAGACCAGTCATGACAGTACCAAGTAGGTATAATCTAATATTAAAAACAATATAACGGTTAAATAATGCATTGATATCTCTTACTGCAGCTTGGATTTGTTCGTGTATATTGTCAGGGGCTGGTGATAACAGACAAAATAAAACAACAGAAAAGATACTGAACTGCAAAACCGAGCACTTCCCTACAATTGTAACTGGTACATCGTCAGGGGCTGGTGATAACATACAAAATAAAACAACAGAAAAGATACTGAACTGCAAAACCGAGCACTTCCCTACAATTGTAACTGGTGTGTTGACTCATTACCTGGTCTCTCTTTGTCACAACATTGGAGAAGAGGTTTCTGTCAATGACTGCATCGTTTCTCTTCTGCTCCATTTGAATCCCATACAGTGTTCTAGTCTCCAGCTCGGCTGGGCTGTACTCTGGATCAATCTGTTAAGAGAGATAAGAACAATGACAATCTGAAACTGTCAACTGTCACTGAATTTGAGATTCCCATATTTTCTAGAAGTTCTCTAACGCAGGTCTGTGACCTCAACATCTATAGCAAAAACAAGCATATCCTCGACAGACGACAATGAATCAGGAATCACAGTTCCAAGGCCACAGCTGATGGGTCACCCGACAGTTGCTCTGTTTCTTGCCAATGAAAACCACACACAATGTCCATCACTAGCCCTTGTGAAACAACTGACACAGACTGCAGTCTTGGCTTGAAATGCATAATGTAGCTGTCCGAGGTGCCAACACAAACAGTCCACCACTAGAAATGCAGTTAGTAGTAGTTGGTTGAACACACAATAACACAAGGCACTCAGTTCTCTGGCAACAGGCCACTCACCATTTTTGAATCTACAGCTCCCAATACAAAGCATGTTGAGCAGTCCAAAAGCATTCTAAATTAAATAGGCAGTTCAGTGTCGCACCATGCACTCAGCTCAGTAGGAACTAGCATGAATCCTTATCTACGGTTGGACATTAGCCTTTTTACATTAGAAAGATATGAGACTATTTGTCTGAAGTGCTCACCTGCAAAACACAATAACCACCACTGTCTGAAGTGCTCACCTGCAAAACATAACCACCACTGTCTGAAGTGCTCACCTGCAAGACACAATCACCACCACTGTCTGAAGTGCTCACCTGCAAGACACAATAACCACCAATGTCTGAAGTGCTCACCTGCAAGACACAATAACCACCACTGTCTGAAGTGCTCACCTGCAAGACAATAACCACCAATGTCTGAAGTGCTCACCTGCAAGACACAATAACCACCACTTTTCTTCTTCTTCAGGATGTCTAGGGCTGCAGGCTCATACCCAGGGGCCACGACTCCATCAGAGACCTCCCTGTTGATGATCTTGGCGGTCGGGACATCACACACGTCAGAGAGGGCAATGAAATCACCAAAGGAGGACATTCTGTCAGCACCTGGCCACAACAAAAGTTCAGTTAGTCACACACAAAAAAAGCATTGGCAAACCAAGGAGGTGAATAGTTTTAATATTTTCCGTAAAATGCGGATAATGGTTAATTTGTTGGCGTGTAATAAGGCTATAAAGTGTGTAATGAGCCATGCAAGGAGGTCCAGTCTTCTACTGCACTTCCTCTTGTATTGCTTTGTCAAGGGAAACACAAGATTCTTGTTCTTCTGGCTACCTCCATTATAAACACATTGTACTGTTGTAGAGGCTCTCTGATGATGATGTTTTCAATCTTATTGGTCTATTTGTGCTCTACATCCATCTCCTCTTTTGGTGTATGCCTTGTACGGTATGGCATCGTATGGTATACTAAGTGGGCAAACCATTTCATTTGCTTTCTTTGTATGTCGTTTAGAACTGGTGCTGTATAAACATTTTCTTTTATAACCTCATTTCTGGTTTCACCTCCTCCATTTCACTTCTACAGTTCTCAAACATCTTATTTCTGTGGTTACTAATTTTTTTAAATGGATTATTCTGAGTGTCCATGTCTGGCACTGGTAGCGTAGAGTGGGAATCAATATGCTTGGCATGTTTTTGTGCTGACTTGGATTGTTTTATGCATAGTATCAGAGTCACCCACCCAAACAGTTCACACAACATGATTAATTACAACTAACACATTATAACCACAATTATAATGAATACAGCATAACCAACTTCTCCAGGGACAAGCTTTGGTAACTTGGGATTGCTCCTGCATCGTAAGACTCAGCCCGCATGGGAATGCCCAATGTGCACTGTTGATTGTCTCAACATAAAATAACTTAGCATGTCATATTTGAGCTGAAGAAAATTAAACAGATGTGATGCTATCGTTACCTCTAGCTCTGGCATAGGCGATGGCCAAGGGGGATAAGTCGACCAGATCATCAACCATACACAGCTTAGCTTCGTCTGATGATAGTGGAATACCAACAGCAGCACCTGTGAATGGTTCAACAAGTGACTTTAGGACAGGACACAATCAAATAAGAGGAAGGACACCAACACTGGGACAGCACACCAATAACCAACATTAGGACAGCACACCAATAACCAACATTAGGACAGCACACCAATAACCAACATTAGGACAGTACACCAATAACCAACATTAGGACAGTACACCAATAACAAACATTAGGACAGCACACCAATAACCAACATTAGGACAGCACACCAATAACCAACATTAGGACAGCACACCAATAATCAACATTAGGACAGTACACCAATAACCAACATTAGGACAGTACACTAACAACCAAAATGAAGACAGCACACTGTCACAACATTAGTAAAGGGCATAATGCCATTTACTAAAGTCAAGAGAAAACAGAACTGTTCCCAGGACAGAGAAGACAGCAGTGACAGGGTGGAGAAGGCAGTACTGACATCAGGACAGAGAAGACAGCACTAACCTGCTGGTGAGACATGCTTGAATGATGTGGCAGCAGGCAGACCTAAGGCCTGCTTGAGTTCCTTCACCAGCTGATATCCATTGAGAGCATCACACAGGTTGATGAAGCCAGGAGATCCATTGATCACTGGAACATGGGGCAAACAACAGGACCATCATGACAACTTCCAAGCACAAAACACCCATTTCCCCCCTAAAAATTCTGGCCTCAAAAACAGTGAGCGTCTTATACAGTGATAGTAGAGTTGAGTTGATTCAAGAACCGACATCACAGCACTCGAGGCATTCCCATCAAGTTCTTCATCCCCATCTTCAGCAGCCAGCAATGAGTTCCGATACTAATGGTGCCAGTAGCATTCTGATTAAACGTCCATCCTGCCTTTCCTCTGAGCCTCGATCATCTGCCAGAACTTATCACTTCCCTCAGAATTGTACACGCTCTCCCACATCTGCCCTATCATGCATCAGTATTCCACCAAGTTCTTCAGAGCCAGCCAGTCTGTCCGCCTGTTCATTTCCCAACAAACCGGAGCATACTGGTGAAAAAATCCAGACAATAATCATCACCCATCCTCCGGAACGAAGCATGCCTGACCTGATCTTCCTCAGCATGCTTTCTGAGTATACAGTGATAGTAGATTTTGTGTAATCATACACCCCCCACCCCTCCCCCAACTTTCAGTCCCAAAAACATTGTTGTGTCATATGCATTGAATCGATTTATATTTAGGGAAATTTGGTACACTACAACAGTGATAGTCATCTCTCTTTCACCGCTGGCACATCAACATATGCTGTTAAGACTTTTTTTTAAAGCTTAATATGACCAATTCTAGACTCAGTAGGCGATGTGATGTCACCAACATGTCGGCCAACTTTGCTTCCCAGGACATTACCTGGTACCTATCTCAGTCTGGGAGCCAAGGTCAAACTCAAGTTCTGGGACAAGGTCAAAGCAATTGGCAATGAGAAATACATCTATCACATCCATGGAGTCAGCAATTGGCCATGAGAAATACATCTATCACATCCATGGAGTCAGCGATTGGCCATGAGAAATACATCTTTTACATCCATGGAGTCAGCGATTGGCCATGAGAAATACATCTTTTACATCCATGGAGTCAGCGATTGGCCATGAGAAATACATCTTTTACATCCATGGAGTCAGCGATTGGCCATGAGAAATACATCTTTTACATCCATGGAGTCAGCGATTGGCCATGAGAAATACATCTTTTACATCCATGGAGTCAGCGATTGGCCATGAGAAATACATCTTTTACATCCATGGAGTCAGCGATTGGCCATGAGAAATACATCTATTACATCCATGGAGTCAGCGATTGGCCATGAGAAATACATCTTTTACATCCATGGAGTCAGCGATTGGCCATGAGAAATACATCTATTACATCCATGGAGTCAGCGATTGGCCATGAGAAATACATCTTTTACATCCATTTAAAGGGTTAAATGACAAACAGAATAATCACTTTCAGTCAAAAAGGTGAACAAACCAAAAAGTGCAGAAAAATGAGCAAACCTTTCAGAGGCAACTCCGGCAGGGTTGTATAAATCTGGGCAGGTTTTTGGTGAGGGTTCATGCCGTACCTAAGTGTCAGCTGTGACACACCGGCACTGTACTGGCGCCGGAAGTAATTGGATATGGCTGCATCGTAGTCCGCTGTGTGGTTGAAAGCCTGTGGGGCAGAAAGATAGAATACTGGATAATTATATATACATACATATTTTTAAAACTGTCACTAAATAAAAGATTGAAAAGAAGTATGATATGAAACTTACATTATTTAAATAAAACCACAATGTCACAATAAGAAATAACTTATTATAACTTATTATAACACAAATGTCACATGATATGTGACAAGTCCTTAAACACCCAACAAATATGTATTCACTGATGCTAATCCAACTGGAAAAACTCTCAGAGCAGAGACTCTTGGACAAGACGTGTATAGAAGAGATAAGTGCTCAGTTCTGTAATCTCAAATCATTCACTACAAGTGGTGTAATACGAACGAGACAAAAGAATCATCACAGCATAAATTAATAGAAATACATCGTTACTGCCTAGAACTGCCAAACTATTCACCCTATTTGATAGAAACGACTAAAGATAATCAGTTCTGTAATCTCAAATCATTCACCACAAGTGGTGTAATACGAACAAGACTAGAGAAATAATCTTGGCATAAAAAAAATACACCGCTGCTGACTAGAACTGTCCAGCGATTCACCTCACTTAATATAAACTACTAAAAATAGTTATGTAATCTCAAATCAATCACCACACTCGATATAAACAAAATGCTCAGCAATGTAATCTCAAATCATTCACCACAAGTGGTGTAATACGAACGAGACTAGATATTCATCAAAGCATCTTAGAAATACATTTGTGCTATCTCAAATTGTCAAATTATTCTTTATTGGTGTATGAAAATAGTAACAACGCTCAGTCATGTAATCTCAAATCATTCACCACAAGTGGTGTAATACGAACGAGACTAGAGAATCATCATGGCATTAAAAAATACACCGCTGCTGTCTAGAACTGTCAAACAATTCATCTCACTTAATACAGACAACTAAACATGCTCAGTCCTGTATCTCGAATCATTCACCACAAATGGTGTAATACGAACGAGACAAGAAACTCATCACAGCATATCAGAATTACATAACTGCCGGCCGGATTCACCTGGATGTAAACAACTAAAAATAGTTTCTGTACAAAAAAAAAAAAAAATGCTTAGTTCTATAATCTCAAATCATTCACTACTACAAGTGGCGTAATACGAACGAGACAAAAACCATCACAGCATTTAAGAAATACATTGTTGCTGCCTGGAATTGCAAATTATTCACCCCATTTGATATAAACACCTATAGCCACTCAGTTTAGTAATCTCAAATCATTCACCACAAGTGGTGTAATACGAACAAGACTAGAGAAATCATCATGGCATTAGAAAAATACACAGCTGCTGTCTAGAACTGTCAAATTTTTAAAAATCTTACTTTATATAAACAAATAAAGATGCTCAGTTCTATAATCTCAAATCATTCACCACAAGTGGTGTAATACGAACGAGACTAGAGAATCATCACAGCATATCAGAAATACATAACTGCAGACTGGATTCACTACGATGGCAACAACTAAAAACAGTTTCGGTACCTAAAATCATTCTCCACATCTGATATTAACAAACAAAAATGCTCAGTCCTTATCTCAAATCATTCACTGCTACAAGTGGTGTAAAATTAACAAGACTAGAGTATCATCACGGTACATAAATATATAACAGCTTACTGAATTCACCTTCGTATAAATAACTAAACAATACTCATTACCGTACATTAAATCATTCACTACACATGATATAAACAAACAAAAATGCTCAGTCCTGCATCTCAAATCATTCACTACTACAAATGGTGTAATACAAACGAGACAAGAGAATCATCACAGCATAATATAAATACGTCGTCGCTGCCCGGAATTGTTAAATTATTCATCCAATTCACTATAACGAAATATACTCAGTTCTGTAATCTCAAATCATTCACCACAAGTGGTGTAATACGAACGAGACTAGAGAATCATCACGGCATATAAGAAATATATTTTTGCTACATCGAATGGTCAAATTATTCTTTATAGGTGTATGCAAATAGTAATAACGCTCAGTCATGTAATCTAAAATCATTCACCACAAGTGGTGTAATACGAACGAGACTAGAGAATCATCACGGCATATAAGAAATATATTTTTGCTACATCGAATGGTCAAATTATTCTTTATAGGTGAATGCAAATAGTAATAATGCTCAGTCATGTAATCTCAAATCATTCACCACAAGTGGTGTAATACGAACGAGACTAGAGTATCATCACGGCATGTAAGCAATATATTTTTGCTAACTCAAATTGTCAAATTATTCTTTAAAGGTGTATGCAAATAGTAATAACGCTCAGTCATGTAATCTCAAATCATTCACCACAAGTGGTGTAATACGAACGAGACAAGAGAATCATCACAGCATAATATAAATACGTCGTTGCTGCCCGGAATTGTTAAATTATTCACAATATTCAATATAACGAAATATACTCAGTTCCGTAATCTCAAATCATTCACCACAAGTGGTGTAATACGAACGAGACTAGAGAATCATCACGGCATATAAGCAATTTATTTTTGCTATCTCAAATTGTCAAATTATTCTTTACTAGGTGTATGCAAATAGTAATAATGCTCAGTCCTGTATCTCGAATCATTCACCACAAGTGGTGTAATACGAACGAGACAAGAAACTAATCACAGATTATCAGAATTACATAACTGCAGCCTGGATTCACCTGGATGTAAACAACTAAAAATAGTTTTTGTACCTCAAATCATTCTCCACACTTGATATAAACAAAAATGCTCAGTTCTATAATCTCAAATCATTCACTACTACAAGTGGTGTAATACTATAATCTCAAATCATTCACTACTACAAGTGGTGTAATACTATAATCTCAAATCATTCACTACTACAAGTGGTGTAATACTATAATCTCAAATCATTCACTACTACAAGTGGTGTAATACTATAATCTCAAATCATTCACTACTACAAGTGGTGTAATACTATAATCTCAAATCATTTACTACTACAAGTGGTGTAATACTATAATCTCAAATCATTCACTACTACAAGTGGTGTAATACTATAATCTCAAATCATTCACTACTACAAGTGGTGTAATACTATAATCTCAAATCATTCACTACTACAAGTGGGTTAATACTATAATCTCAAATCTTTCACTACTACAAGTGGTGTAATACTATAATCTCAAATCATTCACTGCTACAAGTGGCGTAATACGAACCAGACTAGAGAATCAGCATAGCTTCATTAAAATACACTGTTGCTACCTGGATTTGCAAATTAATCACCCAATAAACAACTAAACAAATCTCATTTATGTATCTCAAATCATTCACCACACACACAACATAGACAAAAATGTTCAGTCCTGTACCTTAAAAATCATTCACCACACACAACATAGACAAAAATGTTCAGTCCTGTATCTCAAATCATTCACCACACACAACATAGACAAAAATGTTCAGTCCTGTACCTCAAATCATTCACCACACACAACATAGACAAAAATGTTCAGTCCTGTACCTCAAATCATTCACCACACACAACATAGACAAAAATGTTCAGTCCTGTATCTCAAATCATTCACCACACACAACATAGACAAAAATGTTCAGTCCTGTATCTCAAATCATTCACCACACACACAACATAGACAAAAATGCTCAGTCCTGTATCTCAAATCATTCACCACACACAACATAGACAAAAATGTTCAGTCCTGTATCTCAAATCATTCACCACACACAACATAGACAAAAATGCTCAGTCCTGTATCTCAAATCATTCACCACACACAACATAGACAAAAATGTTCAGTCCTGTATCTCAAATCATTCACCACACACAACATAGACAAAAATGTTCAGTCCTGTATCTCAAATCATTCACCACACACACAACATAGACAAAAATGTTCAGTCCTGTATCTCAAATCATTCACCACACACAACATAGACAAAAATGTTCAGTCCTGTATCTCAAATCATTCACCACACACACAACATAGACAAAAATGTTCAGTCCTGTATCTCAAATCATTCACCACACACAACATAGACAAAAATGTTCAGTCCTGTATCTTAAATCATTCACCACACACAACATAGACAAAAATGTTCAGTCCTGTACCTCAAATCATTCACCACACACAACATAGACAAAAATGTTCAGTCCTGTATCTCAAATCATTCACCACACACAACATAGACAAAAATGTTCAGTCCTGTATCTCAAATCATTCACCACACACAACATAGACAAAAATGTTCAGTCCTGTCTCTCAAATCATTCACCACACACAACATAGACAAAAATGTTCAGTCCTGTACCTCAAATCATTCACCACACACAACATAGACAAAAATGCTCAGTCCTGTATCTCAAATCATTCACCACACACAACATAGACAAAAATGTTCAGTCCTGTATCTCAAATCATTCACCACACACACAACATAGACAAAAATGCTCAGTCCTGTATCTCAAATCATTCACCACACACAACATAGACAAAAATGTTCAGTCCTGTATCTCAAATCATTCATCTTCAGCTCACCCCAGCCTATTCAAGCTGACAGCACAGCACTGACAAGAATATTGTGTAGTACAATGCTCTTTAAGTGTCTATATTCATGAGCTTGCATTTTACAATATTTGCGCTATGAGCAATTTATGCACATCTGAAATTCCATTGCAGGTAAAAATAGAAGATCAGGTCTCAAAGATTCTGCCCTCACTTAGCATCCTACATGTATTTACCATTTGTTAAGGTGAGCAGGAAGAAGTTGATGTTCCTCATGTTTTATGGCTGCATGGCTAGTGCTGTCACCATCAACAGTGCAGGCAAGGATTTGTATTACTGTTCCAGGCGGAAATAGATCATCTTATCGAGGATCAAACTCAGATCTCCCAATGTGATCCTGATGCTCTACCCAAACGGCGAATAAAGCTAGTCTTTGGAAGCAATCTTGCCCAACAGAACTCAAACACTGGAAAAACAAACATTTGTTGCAATCCTGCACTCTGACAAAATGATCGCTTACTTTGACAGCCAAAGTTTTCCTTGTGTCCAGGCCGGTGTCTTTCTCAGAGGATGCTTTGATTTCATCCAGTACTCTGAGGAGAGGTGTAACATTTCAACATAAATATCATTGGCACCTTTCCGTCTTTCCAGACTAGTGTTATACTGCGCCATGAGACTCACAGCCCATGGCGATGGCGAGTGTGACTAGCAAGACCCGCCCTTGTCAAGAAGTCTTCCACAATGATAGCATGGGATTTCAGGACCATTGTTAACAACATTTGTGTTTAATATGTTTTTCAGACGCTCAGCTTTCATCTTTTCTGCATTCATTTCTTCCTTCAGTCTCATTCCGTTCCTGATATGCCCTTTCCACACAACACAGTTCATGGCATTTTGTTTCCATGAGTCCGCCTCAATACCTGTATCATTCATGTCCCGCTTGCACACATCTTTATATCGTAGTAGAGATCAGCCTCGACATCTTCTTCCTGTCTTAATTCACCATAAAGGATGTCCTTAGGGACTCTGCCATCCCCCATTCTCCAGTTGTGACCCAGCCACCTGAGCCTTCATAGACTCAGCATGGAAAAGACTGTTGTAGTACCTGCTCTTTCCAGTACCTCAGTGTTTGTGATTTTGTCCTGCCACTTAATGCCAAGTATTCTTCTTGGGCATCGCATGTGAAAGCTATTAAGTCGTCTCTCTTGGTGCAAATAGGTTTGACCAAGTTTCACTGCCATAGAGCAGAGTGCTGAGAACACTAGCCTGATAGACAAGGGTTTTTGTTTTAATTGTGAGCTTTCTGTTCTCCCAAACTCTCTTTGTCAATCTGCTCATTGTTGATGCTGCCTTACCTATCCTGATGTTGATTTCTTGGTCCAGCGATAGTTTGTTATTTACTGTGTAACCCCGATAGGTAAAATGGTCTACTGTCTCAAGTTCTTCACCGTCAATGTAGACTGTAGGTCTGTCACTGACACCTTGAACCATAACTGTTGCCTTCTTTTTGCTGACTGTTAGTCCAAATTCACAGCACGCATCAGCAAAGGCAGACAGTAAACATTGCGGCTCCTCCGAGTAATACTCAGGTTCTGGAACAAGACTAAAAAAAAGTACAGAGACTGAAAAACAAGAACTTTCTGCCGGAGTTTCCAGCTGGTGAATGCGTAGATATAACTGACACAACTGCATCCATCTTGCTTCCCTCTTGCTCAAATCCCAGTTGAGGTCAGATAGAACTCTCAAAAACAAGCATATTAAGATGTAAATGGGTCATTATTCTGCATCTGCCATTAACAGGCTGGTTGGTTGGCATGCTGCGTTGTTTTCAGCTAGGCCACAACACCTGCGCTTTCTGGCCCTAAAAAAACAATTTTGACAAAATCTTAGTCGCCTTTTAGGAGTAGCTGGCTAAGGGAGAGTGGATCTATTTAGATTTTCTCCTAAATGGGGATTCTGTACCCACACAGGGAGAGTGGGAATTCTGAACCCACACATGAAGAGGTGGGGGGGGGGGGGGGGGGAGAGAACAACAACAGGGTGATCAATCTTTTAGCCTATACTGTCTACTAAACGATTAAACAAACTTTATTTTCAAAGGCTTACAAACTGGGCACACAGGCCAGTCTCACATTTGGCCCCTATAAACACCCACCTTTCACACAGCAGATAACTGAGAACTTTTATACTGCGATATACTGACAACACAAGTCAACAGCCAGCAGGCAGGGGCGGGCGTCAGTATTGCTACTTTCTTGGTTATCTTATCAGCTGTGTATGACCTTGATGACATACACTTTCCTGCATATGTTATCTTGATGAATCTGCAGCCTCGTGTGCATCAGACCATGTATTGCGACTGCTAACTGTATGTCAGGTTTGATATGTAGCACAAACCATACACGTAATGTTTTGTGTAGCTCAGGCCACATATAAATCAAGTGGGTTGTAGCATAAGCCATATGTAAATAAAACGTTATGTTGCACTAGCTACATATGCAGTGTGACACGTAGCATAGGCCATGATAAAGTGATGTGCAATAATGAATCTAGTTTGTATTACACCAAGTATGCTGTTTGCCAGGTGTTGATCAGATTTGATAACCTCAATGATAATTCTTTAGGTCAACAGCCTGTTTTTTACATAATGAGGTCAAGGTAGAGATAACAGACCTGGTGTAGTCTTGAGGGTCACAAATGACAGTCACTCTGGCGTGGTTCTTGGCCGCAGCTCTCAACAAGGTGACACCACCTGGCACAAACACGGTTCATTAGAAATCTCTACACAGTGTGTTAGGTACACATCACAAGAACTGTTATTAACACTGAACACAAGCTCCACACCAGAAATGTCATGCACTTTTTGAAGACAAACTTCAGAGCAGAACAGCAAGCAATCATTGATGTAACTAAAGTGCCTGAGGGAAAACAATATTTAAAAACAGCAAAACTGTTTTCCTTTGTGACTGCATGTCAGTCCTCCTGGCCACTCTGAGGGATCCATAAAACAACATGGCAAGAGAACTGACCCGCCAGTTGAAAAGACTGTCAAAACAAATTGTTCTCCAGCGGATCCTGGCTCACTGCGACATACCAGGAAATAAGTTGGCAGACAAGACTTACAAATGTTTTTTTTACAAAAGAGAAACAACACACCCATTCATTTTCATAACTAGAAATCAGAACACGTATCATAGGAAAATACAAGGAACTGAAGAGAAACAACCAACAGTAAACATCACAAGACTCCATCAGCAGACTCAACAGAAAGCAACATACAATTTTCCGTCTACAAACAAGACACTGCAGGCTTAACTATCACACGCATAAAATAAAGACTAGTTCCCACAGTGGACCACCAAACACCAGAGCATATTTTGCAGACCTGCTCACTCTACCTACAACTTCAATAAGACAAGTGGCCTCAAGAGCAAAGCGCGCAGAGCAAGCTATGGGGAACCATCAAGGACCTGCAGCTCACAGAGGCAACCCACCTAATGATGTGATCTGAGCACATGAAACCGATCGCAAAGACGAACACAAGCAGACAATATCAAAATATCCTCATTCCCCATGTAAGCTCAGAGGGTCCATGTGTGTGGTGGAGGGAAAATACCCCCAGTACCCCTAACATGTCCTAAGAGTCAACTAATTAGGGATGTTTCCTTCAGTCAAGAGTGCATCTGCCTGAAAGGCGAAGAACCAACAGTCTGCATACAAATAATCCAGAACTGTAAAAAGGATGTGCATGCAAAACTCGGGTTCAGGAATAAGACTAAAAATGGGAGGTGGATGAACAACCAGAACTTTAAACTGAAGTTGATAGCTAGTGAATGCCAAGAAGAAAGCAAACATTTCAAGACTTGTGTGTCTAATGCAGCAATGATGATGTGAACAGATCCAAAGGGGTCAATAAAACAGTACCTCCCCATACATTTACTGAAGACAACAACCAGAACTTTAAACTGAAGTTGATAGCTAGTGAATGCCAAGAAGAAAGCAAACATTTCAAGACTTGTGTGTCTAATGCAGCAATGATGATGTGAACAGATCCAAAGGGGTCAATAAAACAGTACCTCCCCATACATTTACTGAAGACAAGATGGCTACTCACCAATGTCAACTTGTTCAACTGCATCTTCCACTTTGACATTTGGGTCAGCGACGGTCTTGACAAATGGGTACAGGTTGCACACAACAATTCTGGAGAACAGCAACTTCTATTTTAGAAATTTATGGATGACAACAATAAACACAAAAGAAGAGCACAACATTAGCCATTTGTTTCAGAAAACAGCAAAATACTGAACATAAAATTTGCCTTAAAAAAAACTGAAAAAATTTTGGGGTTGGTTCTGCAACGTTCTCTAAAGGATACACAACTAACTGTTCATAAAACAATGTCTGCATTAGGAACTGCTAGAATACTGCACACAATGCAACCATGTAAAACTACTTGGCTAATCTCTGATCATAAGCGTAAGCCACAAAGGAACATAAACTGGTATGTCAGCTCAAGGTTTTTCCTAAAGCAAAGTCACCAAGTCTTCTGGATGTAGCCGCATGTTCTTTGTCAATCCTCAACAGGTGCCAGTTTTAAAAGACATGTTCTGGGATCTGTTTGGCTCGCACGTAATTTATACGAATGTTTGTTGAGTCTGGGTGCACACTACGTCAGCAAAAAAATGATTTGGCTTGTTCTGTTTAAATCACTGAGTTATATCTACTGTTTTTGTTTTCCAATCTATTTCATTTATTGTTTATGAAAGTTTGACTCCTGGAATAGATAGTGGAAAGTAATTTGCTTTCTGGGCTTCCATCCTTGGTTATAGCACTACCATTATAGCTAAAACATAGCACGATATAAGCGTAAAAATTCTGCTGCTATACGACATATTAAAGATGCCAAAGGCAGCAATTGAAAAAACCTACAGTAAGAGAAAAGGCAATCTTAAATAATAATAAAAACAAAACAACAAACATTTTTTAAAAATAAGACTAGACCTCTCTCACCTGATCATTTGATAATTCTGTTTTTTGAGGTCAGCCTGATCAGAGTCCTGGAGCCTGGCCAGAATACCTGCAAGTTTACAGAAACATACTTCTCTAAATATGCCCTAAACACTTCAATATTTCAATGAGACACGGATTACATTTTTTTAAAATTACAAATGACACTGCCTCTCTTCAGACACACTCAGATGGACCTGGTCTTCATGCGCAGATTTGGGGGTGTAGGTTTGCTCACTGTCCCTGTGACCCCATGGCTCAATGTCCCTGTGAACCTCTGACTGTCAGTGTAACCCAATGACTCACTGTCTCAATAACTCAGCTTATTGTCCCTATGAACCCCTTGGCTCATTGTCCTTGTAAACCCCTTGGCTCGCTGTCCCTGTAACTCGCTGGCTCAACGTCCCCGTAACTCGCTGTCCCTGTAACTCCTTGACTCATGTTCCAGACTGACTAGCAATTTAAAAAATAATCCACCTCGGGCACAGTGTGAACAAAGCTGATATCAACGCTGCAAGGATTAGACTGTTGGATAACGAAGCCTCAGATGGTAACCAGATTACGTGACCTGATCATAAATCCTGGTGAAGCCCACCTATCGTGTCCTTCAGTTTAGGGTAGGAGACAAAACCCACTCCTGACGGAAACCACCAGAAGAGATACCTTTTCATGGAGGACTGAGCATGAATGGAAATGCAGGCATATATATATGTGTGTGTGTACACATATTACACGAGGCAGCAGCCAAAAATCTGGAATTAAACAAACATACACACATGTTTCAGTGTTTTATTTCAGGTGACAATGACAGACTTCACACATTTACCTCCATGAACTGCCGGATGCAGTGTCTTCACACGACCTCCAAGCATCTCCGGAGCACCTGTCAGCTCTTCAACCTCACTGGCAAAACAAATTCAAACAAATAAAACAATTAGCAAACAATATCATGAAAGAAAATACAAGATGAATTCCTTCAACGCCCATCTCTGGAGCTGATTTTAGTGCAGAAAACGCTGGATGCTGTGCAGGACTGAAATCTGTTTACAGACAAATTCAATTAATAAGTGCCAGCGCCTGAACTTAAGGCCAACTCATCTCAAACTCTGCCAAAACCTAGGTGCCAGCGCCTGATCTTAAGGCCTACTCATCCCAAACTCTACCAAAACCTAGATGCCAGCACCTTAACTTAAGGCCTACTCATCTCAAACTCTACCAAAACCTAGATGCCAGCACCTTAACTTAAGGCCTACTCATCTCAAACTCTCTCATAACCTAGGTGCCAGCACCTTAACTTAAGGCCTACTCATCTCAAACTCTCTCATAACCTAGGTGCCAGCACCTTAACTTAAGGCCTACTCATCTCAAACTCTGCCAAAACCTAGGTGCCAGCACCTTAACTTAAGGCCTACTCATCTCAAACTCTACCAAAACCTAGATGCCAGCACCTTAACTTAAGGCCTACTCATCCCAAACTCTCTCATAACCTAGGTGCCAGCACCTTAACTTAAGGCCTACTCATCTCAAACTCTCTCATAACCTAGGTGCCAGCACCTTAACTTAAGGCCTACTCATCCCAAACTCTCTCATAACCTAGGTGCCAGCACCTTAACTTAAGGCCTACTCATCCCAAACTCTCTCATAACCTAGGTGCCAGCACCTTAACTTAAGGTCTACTCATTCCAAACTCTCTCATAACCTAGGTGCCAGCACCTTAACTTAAGGCCTACTCATCTCAAACTCTCTCATAACCTAGGTGCCAGCACCTTAACTTAAGGCCTACTCATCTCAAACTCTCCCATAACCTAGGTGCCAGCACCTTAACTTAAGGCCTACTCATCTCAAACTCTCTCATAACCTAGGTGCCAGCACCTTAACTTAAGGCCTACTCATCTCAAACTCTCCCATAACCTAGGTGCCAGCACCTTAACTTAAGGCCTACTCATCTCAAACTCTGCCAGAACCTAGGTGCCAGCACCTTAACTTAAGGCCTACTCATTCCCAACTCCCAAAACCTAGATGCCAGCACCTTAACTTAAGGCCTACTCATCTCAAACTCTCCCATAACCTAGGTGCCAGCACCTTAACTTAAGGCCTACTCATCTCAAACTCTGCCAAAACCTACGTGCCAGCACCTTAACTTAAGGCCTACTCATCCCAAACTCTCCCATAACCTAGGTGCCAGCACCTTAACTTAAGGCCTACTCATCTCAAACTCTACCAAAACCTAGATGCCAGCACCTTAACTTAAGGCCTACTCATCCCAAACTCTCTCATAACCTAGGTGCCAGCACCTTAACTTAAGGCCTACTCATCCCAAACTCTCCCATAACCTAGGTGCCAGCACCTTAACTTAAGGCCTACTCATCTCAAACTCTACCAAAACCTAGATGCCAGCACCTTAACTTAAGGCCTACTCATCTCAAACTCTCCCATAACCTAGGTGCCAGCACCTTAACTTAAGGCCTACTCATCTCAAACTCTGCCAAAACCTACGTGCCAGCACCTTAACTTAAGGCCTACTCATCCCAAACTCTCCCATAACCTAGGTGCCAGCGCCTTAACTTAAGGCCTACTCATTCCAAACTCTGACAAAACCTAGGTGCCAGCACCTTAACTTAAGGCCTACTCATCCCAAACTCTGCCAAAACCTAGATGAAAGTATGGGGGTGACTGCAGTAAAGCTAATATAAGGAATTTCAGGGAAATTTGAATACAAACTTTACCAAATGGGGAAGCAGGAAAATGTGCACAAAACAACACAAATAACGTTTCAGCCGGGCAGCCTTTAAAGAGATCTGTATACTCTCCTCTCCTTTTGTTACCTTTGTGTAGTTCATGTCGGACAAAGGCTGCCAGGCCAAAACATTATTTGTGTTGTTTTGTGCACTTTCTGCTTCCCCATTTGGTTAAGTTTGTAGTCAAATTTCCCTGGAATTCCTTCAAAACATAGTTGCCAGAGTTCCTTTGTATTTATCTTAAACCAATCAAAAATTGGCTACAGCTAAAGTTAAATGAACCATAAACTGGCTACAACTCAAGTTAAACCAAACCATAAACTAGCTACGACTCAAGTTAAACCAAACCATAAACTGGCTACAACTCAAGTTAAACCAAACCATAAACTGGCTACAACTCAAGTTAAACCAACCATAAACTGGCTACACTAGACTAGTGAATTTACAACTAATGTTCAACCAACCACAACGACAGTGGCCACACTAAACATCTACTGTCACCACAATGCACCTGACTGGAATGTTGGCATCCCTGATAGCTTTAGCAGTTCCTCCAGAAGCTACAAGCTTGAAGCCGAGGGCAGACAGTTGCTGGGCAAACTCTGTCAGGCCAGACTTGTCAGAGACACTCAACAAAGCTGAAATATCAAGTTTCATGCAAATTATTCTCTTTAAACCTTGAATGAATGAATGAATGAATCAAGAACTTCTTTGGTAACCAATTAAGAGCTGACATGCTAATAGTAGCAGCTGCAACCTTATTAAAAGTTCGCCTCTTCAATCTTTTATCTTCCAAAACCTCTATACAACCACCGTTGAATTAGTCTTTCAGTGCATAGATTGTCTTGTTTGTTCTTTTTGCACTGTCAATTTGATCCTACAGAGCCTTCACCACACCAGTAGCTAATCTATTAGCCTGCTCGTTACCTCCCACTCCTGAACATCTTGGACACACACACAAATCCACGACATGCTCTTGAGTTTTAATTTGTCAAAGCATGCTCTGAGTCTGTTACAACATGTCGGCCTGTGCTGTTCTCAAGCCATAACAAAGCTGGGCTATCCTCCGAATAACGTTTCCAAATGATGAAGGCCGAAAATATACCCTAACAGGGTATCAGTCACATGTAAATTGTGGACTTCTTTCCGGCGACTGTACCTCAACCGCCGAGAGTATCTCCCGTGCCATGCGTAGCGGGCCTGAACTAGATGGCTGGGACTCACAAGCAAATAAAATGATGGAAGCTGCAGGAGATGCAGTAGCTGCTGCTCTTGTCCCAGCCATCTAGTTTAGTCCCGCTCTGAGGGTTAGCGGGAGACACCTCTCTGCGGTAGTTTTTCCGCAGTAGTCGCCAGAAAACCGCAATTTACATGTGACTGACGCCCTGTTAGGGTATATTTTCGGCCTTGATAATTTGGAAACATTTGAAGGATAGCTGAAAGCTGCCTTACTGCTTCCACTTTTGTAACTAATCTTACTTTCTCATGAGAAAGGATGTATGCATCAAAATAATGAGGTCAGAGACTAAACAAATTATGTACTTCAGTTTGGACAAACTGGGTTAAGGGTTACAGTTAGAGTTAGGGCTAATCTCAAACAATATTAATTAAATATGAAAGAATGCTATTATGTTGAGCTGATTCAAGAACCGACATTACAATCACAGCACTCTGGGCATTCCCATGAGCGTGCCGTTTTGTCCCCATTTTCAGCAGCCAGCATAGAGAGTTCTAATAGAATACGAGTGGTGCCATTCTGATTGTTTTTCCATCTTACCTCTGAGCTGTCATAAATGTGTAAACTTGCACAAAGAAGGGATAACGTCCCCAATGGTTGGTAGTTTAGGTTACAAAAGACGGTCTTCCTAGGGTCGCCTTTGGAAAGAGAGCCTACTAATCTGTGTAAGTGCCTCAGCACAGATTTTCCATAATGGTTTATTAAAGACAGTTTTTTCGGCTAAACCAACCTTAAACCAGCAGGCAGCAAATTACAAACAAATGCGCAGTTGGGTCGCAGAAAGTCTTAGCCTTATATTATATAGACTTTAGCACCTGCTAAAGAAAGGTCTGCTACACGTATGTGGATGTCGATTTCCACAGTATTCTGGAATACTGCATAGATCGTCCACCACATCAATTGTAAATTAAAATATGCAGTTCTACATGCAAAACAAATTGCCGAGTTAGTAAGAAATAATAATGGCGGGCGGAGAAGAGAGGGACCCGGCGCAGAAGAGAAAGTGAACATCACTAGAGCTAGAGAGAGCAAATCTGACACATGTGTCCAGGTTGCACTAAAGTGTGGTGCTTACCTAGCTCTCCGGACATGTTTGTTCGGCTGTAATATTTGGCGAGAGAGTAGAACCTGGATGGAGAGCACAAAAAGGAACGAACAAGTTGTCTACACGTGGTGGGCAAGCTGTCAGACGAACAGGTGGTCCTACTGAAGTCAGTCTTTGCTTGTATGTGAGGCCGCCCCGTGACCTCTGACCCTGCTTTTCGTGGTCTTCTACTTCCGAGGTCGTCAAGTTTGCTTCATTTTACAACTTTGTTTTCAAATCATTAGATCGTTTTGCATTAAAAATACAGATTATGCACAACAGACAATATAATTTACTACCACTTTGGGTAATATTCATATTATAATAATTTCATTAAAATATTTATTTATAAATATTATCAAGAATGCAATACCATGCGGCCGGTTAGCTCAGTTGGTTAGAGCGTCGTGCTAATAACGCGAATGTCGTGGGTTCGATCCCCACACTGGCCATGCATCTTTTTATTTTTCTCTATAAAATTATGAATTTTTAAATCTCCTGTGTCCACCTTAGCGGATCTGTACACTAACACATCACCGTCAAGTGCCTGCCATCTTGGTCCTTGATGTTCTGGATCAATTCCACTAATGATATTCCTCCATGCCACTGTCTTGAGCCAGCCACCATAATTCCTCTTGGTCTACCTCTGCCTCTGCTTCCAGTGGCATTACTACACGTCAATTTATTTCAGCCTCATTGTTGACAAGCCTGCAATAATCATCCTGTCATGCGGATAAACGTTATCGGTCACGGTTGATAGATCATCAAATGTTAACGCGTTTGTTTCTGATGTTTGTGAGAGTTAACAGAATATACAAGAGTGGCAGTGTCGTAGGAGTGGGTACCGACCTCCCTGAGTGTCATTACTAAGACTGGTGACAAAATGGCCCACCCCGCACCAATTTTGACTAAACGAATTGGGCTGGGGGATGTAATGTTCCATACCGGGTGCCACATATCTGCGCTAAGCCACTGGAGAGTGGCAGATCTAGTCATATCTAATATCTACGTCTGTACTTATAGAGAAGGGGAGTCGCCGAGGCGGAGCGGCTAGACGCTCGCCGCCGATCGGAAGGTCGTGGGTTCGCTCCCTAACGGAGCCGGACTTTCTTCAGAAATCATGTGGGCTCCTAGGTTGACCCAGCCTTGAGTGCTCCCAGGTCGAGCCAACCTTAAATGGGTAGCGGGTACAGTCCTGGGATGTAAAGGCGGCCATCGTGATGCTGACCAAATTACCCACCGAGTGCCCATTGGTCTATAACAGTGGTTCTCGGAGATGTGATTTTACAACGCAGTTCTAAAAAATGCGAGGGCTCAAAGACACCTTATCACAAACATCAGAAAGAAGATAATCAACATTTTGTGGCTATGTTATGACAAAAAGGAAACTGAAAAATGTTGCGACCACTGGAAAGATATGTGGGGGGGAGGGGGGGGGGGGGAGTCCGAGGAAGACAGCGCAAGAGGATTCTTGACAGCCTTAAGTCAAGGCATGGAGGGGCTTCAACGCACTGATACATTTGCAACTGTGGAGAGGCATAATCGCCCATGCCAGTCGGCTAGGCACTTGATGATGATGATGTGGCTATACGGTTAAACGGGGTTTGTGGGGTTTGCACCTGTGTGATTCTCATTCTTGAAATGTTAGTGCTGTAGACTGGAAACACGGAAGAACATCGCTCAAGCCAACACTGACAGTCAGTCCACCATCCCCGGCTGAGGTGCAGAGGTCAACTCAGAAACGCCCTGACTTTGACTGTGACAAGTGGTCAATAACAGGGCTGCCAAAGTTGGGCAACATTTGGTACTGTTTGACCATTACCGAGTAAAACTGTACTTTTGGTATCAGAGAATTTTAAAGAATCACTCTCATTTGAAGACTTCAACAATAAATGCATGGATAAGATCACATTTATTGCTCCATGACATTAAATTCAGCAGCTAGCAGCCGCCACAACTCTGGATATACATGGATACATAATCTCTCTCTCACTTTCTCTTCTCTATCTATCTCCCTCTCTCTCTCCACACACACACACACACACACACACACATATATATATATATATATATATAATATATATATATATATATATATATATATATATATAATATATATATATACTTATTGATGTGCTTTGCTACTTAAAAAAAATAAACTGGTACTTCTGCTTATCTCTACATCTAAAGGAATGCCTCGCATCGTCAGGGGAGGAAGCAATTGCTGAAACCGGCTCTTCTTTTCGCTTTGTATAGACTTATTTTCCTGGTCCAACTCTTTCTCCGTTAGTGCTGTTTGTGATTCCATGCTCTGTTATTTTTTTTTACATGGCTAAACCATTTGATCTATTATCTGTCGTTATAGTTCAATATTGATTTTGTGCCGACTCTCCTCCTGATATGATCGATAATAGATCGATCTTCCCTTGTTACATATGGTATATAAACATTTCGTTTATGTCGTATCTATTTTTTTCATCTGTATTCTTGAGACATTGTCCATGTGTGACATTTAAAACATAGTGTTGTTAAGAATATTGCATGGAACAGCATTCCTTTAGAGTTCATATTCACATGCTTGTATTTCAATACTGGCACCATTTTTCCGATGACTTTATCGCATTTATTTATTAATTCTTCTGTTTTCAGAAAAAATGCTTTCTTGTTTTGTGCACCTCGCCTGCTTTAACTGCTGTTAATCAATTTTAATGTTGTGGTACTTTTCTTCAAATAATTTCGGCAGCCCTGAACTTGTCAACTAGCAGTGACCCGGACATCAGCTCAGGGTCAGAGCGGGTAGCTTGTTATTTTCATTTGCCGCGGCCATTGACACCAGTAGAAGCGGTCAAGACTTTTTGACGGGACATTGACGCCTCAAATGTAGCATTAGGTAAGTTTATGTCGTTGCTGTCATTTGTCATCTCTATCAAAACTCAATGAAAACTACATCCCAATTTTAATCTTTTAGATTCAACAGGCTATTTTTGAAAAATCACTTTTACTTGGTTGTAGTGAGCAGTAATCGCTTGTTGTAATGACACAATGCTAGTAAATATGATCTAAATATTCTTAGTACAATCTCTCTTAATCACAGACCAAAAGGATTCCAACACAGCAATATTGGAAACAGTACAGATTACACAATTGTCTTAAAAAGTTCCATGATAAATAAAATATTGAAGATAATTCGATTAATACTTGATATCCCACTTAAAACCTTGAAGGTTGAACACCTGCAAACAACAACACAATGTAGATATCCCACTTATAACATTGAAGGTTAAACACTTGCAGACAACAACACAATGTAGATATCCCACTTATAACCTTGAAGGTTATACACCTGCAAACAACAACACAATGTAGATATCCCACTTATAACATTGAAGGTTAAACACTTGCAAACAACAACACAAATGTAGATATCCCACTTATAACCTTGAAGGTTAAACACCTGCAAACAACAACACAATGTAGATATCCTACTTATAACATTGAAGGTTAAACACTTGCAGACAACAACACAATGTAGATATCCCACTTATAACCTTGAAGGTTAAACACCTGCAAACAACAACACAATGTAGATATTCCACTTATAACCTTGAAGGTTAAACACTTGCAAACAACAACACAAATGTAGATATCCCACTTATAACCTTGAAGTTAAACACCTGCAAACAACAACACAATGTAGTTGTCCCACTTGTAACCTTAAAGGTTAAACACTTGCAAACAACAACACAATGTATCCCACTTATAACCTTGAAGGTTAAACACCTGCAAACAACAACACAATGTAGATATCCCACTTATAACCTTAAAGGTTAAATACTTGCAAACAACAACACAATGTAGATATCCCACTTATAACCTTGAAGGTTAAACATCCCACTTATAACCTTAAAGGTTAAACACTTGCAAACAACAACACAATGTAGATATCCCACTTATAACCTAGAAGGTTAAACACTTGCAAACAACAACACAATGTAGATATCCCACTTATAACCTTGAAGGTTAAACACTTGCAAACAACAACACAATGTAGATATCCCACTTATAACATTGAAGGTTAAACACTTGCAGACAACAACACAATGTATCCCACTTATAACCTTGAAGGTTAAACACCTGCAAACAACAACACAATGTAGATATCCCACTTATAACCTTGAAGGTTAAACATCCCACTTATAACCTTGAAGGTTAAACACTTGCAAACAACAACACAATGTAGATATCCCACTTATAACCTTGAAAGTTAAACACTTGCAAACAACAACACAATGTAGATATCCCACTTATAAAATTGAAGGTTAAATACTTGCAGACAACAACACAATGTAGATATCCCACTTATAACCTTGAATGTTAAACATCTGCAAACAACAACACAATGTAGATATCCCACTTATAACCTTGAAGGTTAAACACCTGCAAACAACAACACAATGTAGATATCCCACTTATAACCTTGAAGGTTAAACACTTGCAAACAACAAGACAATGTAGATATCCCACTTATAACATTGAAGGTTAAACACTTGCAAACAACAACACAATGTAGATATCCCACTTATAACCTTGAAGTTAAACACCTGCAAACAACAACACAATGTAGATATCCCACTTATAACCTTGAAGGTTAAACACTTGCAAACAACAACACAATGTAGATATCCCACTTATAACCTTGAAGGTTAAACACTTGCAAACAACAACACAATGTAGATATCCCACTTATAACCTTGAAGGTTAAACACTTGCAAACAACAACACAATGTAGAAATCCCACTTATAACATTGAAGGTTAAACATCCCACTTATAACCTTGAAGGTTAAATACTTGCTAACAACAACACAATGTAGATATCCCACTTATAACCTTGAAGGTTAAACACTTGCAAACAACAACACAATATGCCAACTGCCAGTTTACAAGTAAATGCTAAAGAATAAAAAGAGGTAATGGTTTAAAAAAAACTAGAAAGTGACCAGTGTTCA